TCTGTAACATTTTCTCATTTTTCACTTGATGATACCTTGTCTTCTACTTCTTCGAAGCGACTGACACTTTCATTGCGGTCACTTTTTATTACGTTCACTCATTTTCTTCTTGGTGGGATGATACACTGTCACTACTATCATTTTCTTCCATATCAATGTTTAATTTTTCTAAGTTATATGTATGAAAGTCTAAATCTAACTCATATTTGCTGCTGCTTATAACTCTTGTATTTTTGTTTTGCCATTGTTCTGCAAACTAAATAAATGGATAAAAAAATTTCTAATTGTAACTTTTGAAACCACAAAATGAAATTTATCAAAAGAATGTATATTACTTTTTCAGTTTTACTTTTCTGACTTTGTGCAGATAGATATATTTGACTTTTGCCACTCGATACTTCAATACAGTCTGCCTTCAACTCTGAAAGTCTCTTCCTTTTAAGGCTGCAGTAACTTGCTTATCTATCTTTTCAAGATATACTGTTTGATACAGAGGGTATACCCTCAGCTGCCTTTCTTATATAAATGCTCTTTATTGCTACCTTCTGTTACAAAGAATGTTGGCACCACTGTGAAAGCACTTCACGTGAACTTTCTCTTTCTACATAACGTCAGCTGATTTTTTTTACATATATCTCAGTATATATTAAATATCTTTATTTGCTTTTTTGTGCAAGTTGAATGGAAAACTTCAAGGAAACACGTTTTTTAAAAATGTCCACTGGTATAAGTTTGTCCTGTATAGTCACCAAGCAATCTCTTTATGATTCCTGAAAGGGGACACCTGAGTGGTTTGCTAGAGTGCAAAGGGCTACAAGCAATAATAATTTACCTCAATGTACCTCAGCATGAATTTAGGAAATAAAGTTCAAAATCCTGTAGATATTTAGACTTGGTCTCTTGGTTTTGACCCCCAGAATTACACTCAAGACAATAAAAAGACAAGTGGTCAAATGATTGTCCAATGAGAGAGTAGTGATCAGGGTGGATAGGAAGTTGAGATTATGATGAAGGTTGTAAGTGAATTCACAAGAAAATAAACAATTGAGAGTTACCTCAACGGAGTTTTGAGATATTAGAGGTGGAGGAGATTTGAAAGACTAGATGTAAGGGATTATGTTAGTAGTAGGTAAAACCTGAAATTTTCAGTGTCCATGTTTGTTGATCGGAATCACAATACAGATGATGTCCTCTTTTCCTTTTAAAATCCTTCTGGATTTGTCACTCTGTTTAAGTTAGATAATAATAAAGGAAATAAAGTTAGTGTCATAGAAGGATGATTGTACGAAAATCTATGATATGTGCTTTATCTTTACACTAAAGTGTTTTTTGTTGTTGTTGTTGTTTTTTTGGTTGTTTTTTTTTTGAGTTGGAGTCTCACTCTTGTTGCCCAGGCTGGAGTACAGTGGCACGCTTACGGCCACCGCAGCCTCTACCTGCTGGGCTTAGGCGATCCTTCTACCTCAGCCTTCCAAGTAGCTGGAACTACAGGCACACACCACCACTCCTGTCTAGTTTTTGTGATTTATTGTAGAGATGAAGTCTCACCAAGTTCCCCAAGCTAGTCTCTAACCCCCAGACTCAGACAATCGTCTTGCCTCGGCTTCCCAAAGTGCTGTGATTTCAGGCTGAGCCACCATGCCCAGCCAAGTTTTTTTTAAATCTGTAAAAGAAAGGGTACAGGATACTCTAGGTCCCTTTCACCTCTAAAACTCTGATCTGTAAACAAGAGAGTTTGAGTTTAATGACAGCAGTGGAAGAAGATTCATGCCTTGTTCTATTCTTTGTTTTTACCAAACTTTTCCCAAGTTCATTCAGAAGCCTAGACCTTTTTCTTATTTTATTCGTTTTTAACCTGTTTCTGAAATGCTTGGTTGCAATGTGCTTCAGACATCACTTGAGGATATGTGGGTAGGAAGAGGAAAACAAATGTGTAGAGTTCACTCAGCTTCTGTTCCCATTTCTGTTTCTGTATTGTGGTGGCTTATAACATTATCAAAAACTTTGTATCTGTATACTTTTACTAAAATAGTAAGTATGAGAGTATCCTTACTAAAGAGCTCCTGTAAACCTCAAACCTTCTTTGCAAACAGTATAGAAACACCATGTTGATAAAATCAAGAGCTAGCCCCTAGGCCAGCAGCATGGTCATCACCTGCAGACTTGTGAGTGGTGCAGAAACTCGGGCCCCACTCTAGACCTACTGAATCAGAATCTGCACCTTAACAAGTTTCAGGCGATTCATTTGCACATTCAAGTTTGAGAAGCCTTGAAGCAGTCTAGATATAATTCAGCTTCCTGGGCCCTTCACCTCATGTTGAAGGACACACATTGGATGATATGTCATTGATCTTCAGGACAGTTTGATTTAATATTGACCATTTGTTTTTAGGAAGGTTGGAGGAAAAAGGATACTTGAAGCTTACACCCGACTCTTATTTCTTTCAGTCTTTCACCACAGTTTACTCCAAGTTTGCTTATGATCTTCCCTGGCATTTGGCTTATGTAACACTGTTTTCTCAGACTTCAACCTAGCATCTTCTTTCATTTCCCTCCTATATCACCATGTCCATTTTATATCCCAGCTTCTGGAGAATAAAACTGAGTTGCTAAATATGTCTTAAGCTCCCTTTAACTACCACCTCCAATTACATATTCTCTTTGCCTTCTATTTTCCTCTCATTTTTGGCTGAAATACTAGAACTGATTTTCACAGAACCAAAGGTTTATATGAAACAATTTACCATTAAGTGACAGTTATAAGAACTTTTGATATTCAACATGTAAAAGTTTTTTGAGGATTCAGGCTTTGAATTATCTAATTTTATATTTGCTTTGTTTTCATTTGTGATTTATTATTTTCATTCTTTTTGGTGCCTTAGTTGAAGAACAGCTAGGAAAGAACGACAACCTCATCACACATTTATTTGGCTCTTTCGATTTTGGTGGGGAAAATGACATTATGTATTTTCTGATGCAGCCTAATTTTATCTACACTCATTTTTCTGATTTTATTTTAAGGGTATGCATATATATGAGAGCATATCAAATAAGGCTTATATACTTTCATTCTAAAAGCTCCATTATTTCTCAGCATATGAGCTATTAATGCTTCCCCTAAAAAGTGAAATATCGGGCAGCCCTCTTTGGGTCCCCTCCCACTTGGGAGCTTTTTTGTCTTCTTAATAAATTCCTACTTTCTCACCCTCTGGGGGAAAAAAAAGAAAAGAATTCTCCCAGAATCTTCCATTTTTTCCCTAGTTCACATTCTCTGACACATGGCTCCATCTGCACTGTTTCCCTTCCCTGCCCTACCAACAGACCTTAATGAAGGCAGCCGTATCATTCATTGCTATTAATTTAGACTCTAATCTGGTATGAAGTGCTCTAGAATATTTCCATGTCACTAACTATTCTAAAATGTAAAAAAAAAGATTAGTAAATTGTCATAACTATGCAATTGACAGTTCTGTGCGTTAGAGGTTGAGGCCATACTTGCCAGGTGCCTTTAGTGCAAGCTAGGTTGGTGGGCATCACTACCTTCACTCCCTGCACCATATCTAGTCTCCACAAGAGATTCTTAACTGCTTGCTGTTTATCATGTGGAAATGTGTTTATTCAAAATCCATATAGTTTTTCTTTGAGAAACGGTACCACTGCTTTGCAGCTGGTGATACTTAGGTTTATCAAATTCTATATTAACCAGTTCTCAGAAATTTTAAAATATATTTACACTATAGAATTTTTCATATCAACTAACCTTTTGTATACTTTAATAAATTAACTAATATTTAGAAATTTTAAAATTTTTTATTTGACCTATATTATATTTCTTATTTTATTAATCTTTATCAGTAAGCTTGTGATATCTGCTCTTTTGTTTTTTTGAGTTGGAGTCTCACTCTGTCACCCAGACTGTAGTGCAGTGGCCGCTCCCGGCCACCGCAGCCTCGACCTGTGGGCTCCGGCGATCCTTCCGCCTCAGCCTTCCAAGTAGCTGGAACTACAGGCGCGCGCTACCACACCCGGCTCATTTTTGATTTATCGTAGAGATGAGGTCTGAGGTCTCGCCAAGTTGCCCAGGCGGGTCTTGAACCTGCGGGCTCAGGCAATCCACTCACCTCAGCCTCCCAAAGGCATGGGATTACAGGCTGAGCCACTGAGCCCGGCTGATATCTGCTCTTGACTCTTTAAAATTTTCTGATAATCTTTTCTTTTCTTTTTTTTGAGTTGAAGTATCACTCCATTGTCCAGGCTGGAGTGCCACGCTCAGGGCCACCCCAGCGTCGACCTGCTGGGCTCAGGAAATCCTTCTGCCTCAGCCTTTCAATTAGCTGGAACTACAGGCATGTGCTACCATGCCCGGCTAATTTTTTTTATTTTTATTGTAGAGATGAGGTCTCGCCAAGTTGCCCAGGCTGGCCTCAAACCCATGGGCTCAGGCAATCCTCTCAATCATCTCCCAAAGTGCTGGGATTACAGGCTTGAGCCATTGTACCTAGCCAATAATCATCTTTTAAAAATCATTTTGGTTAAAGGCTTACTTTTAATTTTATTTGTTATCACTGATAAAAATGAATTTTTATGAATAACAAGCCTCTGAGAAGAAAGCATTTAATAGGCATGGAAGGTCCCTGTACTGCAGTGTTGCTTCAGCATGTGTGTTGGTAAGGGTAGGTACACACACACCCCCACCACACTCCTCCCACCCCATGTGAGTCTACTCACTCTACAACATGGTAGATGGTGTCATTATGCAGGTTTGTTTCCAGAATCATCTCTCCCTCTTTTCCAAGCGTGGCGATAGTAGTTCTCTGATGAATTGGTAGTTACAGATGACACTACACTTTTCTTAGCCCAAACCTGTGTTTCAAACTCTGTCATCGTAAAAGTGCTATAAGTGGTTTTAAATTCCTAACTTACTTGGAAGTACATTGTCGTCATCGAGTTTCCTTTTCTTTACGCTGAACTTAAGTCATGAGTGTGTTCTTCCTTTTTAGGTGCGCTTTGTAAAGAATATAACTTCCTGGAAAGAGATGAAACCAGGATTTTATCATGGACACGTTTCTTACTTGGATTTTGCAAAGTAAGTTACACCTAAAATGACACAGTGAGGAATTCTTTGTACTTTAGCAACCTAAAAGGGAGTAAATTCATTAAATTGTTACGATTTTCTAAAAAAAGAATGTACTGACTTGCCTTTGCCACTTTTAGTTCTGAAATTGGAATATACCGGCTAGTGTTTTACTGCCCTCTAGTGTTCGTAAATTGGCAGTTCTCATATTTGTTATTATGTATATGTTTCTTAAACAACCAACATGACATTATTTCAGGAGAGCTCAAATTTTAACCTAGACACCAATAAGATTATGACTTACCACACCATTGACTGAGATCTGAGAAAGCTAAGAAAGCCTCACTTAGTTATCATCTGCGCCCCACTGTTTCTGTTTCTCAGCCAAGACACAGTGAAGTGTATACTTTCCCTTGGGCTACCCTTGTTTTAGCTAAAATTAGGATGTATTAAGAGACTTTTTAAAAAAGTAATGATTTTATTTTATATTTGAATCTGCCATTAATTGGAGATAAGTAAGTCTCAGCCCATATTTTGGGGGAGAGGTAGGGTCCAGGGTATTTCTATCTTAATTCTCTCAAGAAAAGTTCAGAAAACTACAGACCTACTCACATTTTCAAGCACCAAGTGACTCCCTCTAAGGTCTGTGATGCATTAAAGTGTCATTCTAAACGTGTCTCATGGATATATATGTGTGGTTTTTTGTAATATACATAGTACTAGTATAGTAAGACCTCAAATCCAGTGTTTTTCCTAATAAGAAATTTTTTTAGTTATTTAAGCTTAGACATATTTATTCCATTTTTAAATGAGCCATTATGACTTTAAAGTAATACACCCTCATGTATGTCAGCTTTCAAAGCCATTTTGTGTAAAGTTTAAAATGTGATATTCCACTCTCAATTTAACTTCTTAAATTTGAAAACAAAAAGAGTAGATGAAATATTACTGATTTAGATTGATAATAAATCTTAAATTCTTTGGAAATTGTGTAATTAAAAGGGAATCACCCAAATATTGCATACATAAAATGATATATTTCTGTTTCTCGTTCCTCCTATAGTACTCAAGGTGGTTCAATATGTGTAGCTTTAAAGTTAGATGTACATTTTTCTATAAATAATTCATACTGCAATATTGAAAACATTTTATAGTCAGCTTTAAAATAAACTAATTATTTTTTCTTTGCAGAGGCATTGAACCAATTTCATAAACTTCATTCATATGCATATTTTCCCTCAGGGCTGCATTATCCTTGAATTGAATGTTTGTTACCCTTTCACCTACATGATTTATTTTTTCCACACACAGCTTGGTTTCTAATACTTTAGGTTTTCATTATTAAAATTATATGTTGAGTGCTTTTGCTTTTGGCAAAGTCTTGTACTTAGAACAAAGCTCTGGTTTGTGCTGGGGTTCTTATATTTGAAAAGTATAAGGCTTTTTGAAAATATGAATCTTATTTATTAAATATTGACATGAATTTTTTGAGGGTTTGAGTGTTTTCATAGTGGGTCTTATGTTATTGGAAGAGAAAAGTATTGTGAAAATTTCTAATAGGCTTTTACAAGACTTAAATACCTAAACAAAATCAACTAGAGGAAATGTATTTAGATGTATGTAAAAAGTCAAGAACTGTTGTAGACATAACTGGTATCTTTGTAAATATCTTTTAGCTTGATAGATACTGCTTCATGAATGAGTAATGAAGAGGAAAGAAACATGACCTTACCGATTTTTAAGATGCAGTCATCCCTTGGTATGCATCAGGGATTGGTTCCAGTACCACCTGAGTATACCAAAATCTTCACATACTCAAGTCCTGCAGTTGGCCCTATGTTAGAAAGTTGGTCCTCCATATGTGTGAGTTTCACATCCCACAAATTCTGTGTTTGCGTTTGGTTGAAACATAATCTATGTATACCTGGACACTCAGTTCAAACATATTGTTCAAGGATCAGCTGTACGTTGTTCTTCAAAACAATATTCTTGACTGCAGAGTACTTTGTGGAGTCGACTAAAATACTTGCCTCCAAGAGAAAATGGTGAATTTAGCAAAAGAAATATTTACAGTTTTTCGGTTGCCTTAGCAGAGATGTTTTAAAAAGTATAAACTCCAAGAAACTCAGGAAATATGATAGAGAAATAAAAAGTGAAAAATATATTCTAGTTTATACTGATTACTAAGAAGTACACATTATATTTGCCTGTCTGCTCAAGTCTTTAGAATAATAACAGAAAATCTTCTTTATACATTTTTGTACTACTATCCTTTTTGTCTCAATCCTATTCTTTGTTTTCTTTAAAAAACATATTTCCTAATTCTTGTTCCTTTCTTTTTTCCTTTCATGTTCAGTTACTATTTTGTTTTCTTAATTGGTGGACAATACAATACAATACAATTTTAAAATAATGTAAATATGATAATTTAATGTCATAAATTTAGAAATTTTCCAGTTTAAAACTGTGTAGATTTAACATTTTCAAAATGTCCTAGTCTGCATATAACGTTGAATAAATTGCAATTCTTGACATTAGTGAGTTCACTGAAACCCCATTTTTTATTAGTAGCATTTCTTACCTGCTTTGATTTTCTTCAAACTTTAGAAAAGATAAACATTAGAACATATCTTTCAAAAACTCCTTTTCAGTAATAAACATCCTTTATAATGAATAATGATTAGCTAAAAGAAAATGATTTACTTTTAAGTTTTAGATCAGACTCTGCTGTGATTTTTTTATGATCTAGCTACCTCATAGTCATATGTCAGCATCTGTCTTAGAAAGATACTTGAAATTAATTTTTGTTAGAACAGTTGTATTCAATCACACATCAAGTGTATACCTCTGTGGTTGTCTCCAGAAATGAGAATGCGTTTCCATTTGCTGTCAGTTTGGTTCTCCATGTTACCTCTCTTATCATGGTCAGAGCAAGTGAGGTGAATAAACAAAGAAGCAGTTATGTCAGGACAAGAGACAAATAACTAAATGCTTCACAAAGTCTGAAATACCCTACAGGGTAATAAAGTGACAATATTCTAGGCCTCAGTAGAATTTGTTAGCATATAGATTCCTGTGAGACTGTCCTTTTTACCTCCTAAGTCTCTACTGAACCACATGAAGTCTGTGCGATTTTCTACAGCCTGCACCATTTTCACAATACTGTCAATACTTTTAAAAATTATTTCAGTCATTACAAGCAATATTTGGAAGCGGCCTTTTATTGACCTTGCACTGCTAGCTCTTTCTACAGCACTAATTTTGTGGATTACTAAGGAGTAAGTTCTGAAGTCAGATCTACCATTCTATCTACTCTGACTCCTTGCCAGTTCTGTGTTCTCAACCATATTACCTCAGATCCTGGAGCTTAAGTTTCCCCATTTGTTAAATGAGGATAAGTAATTACTTCATGGAGTGGTGGTGAAGATTACATGTGATCATGTATATGAAGCACTTAGTTCTGTGCCTCACACAGAGCAGCATTATGACTTACAGAATTCTGTCTTCTTTCAGTTATCATATTGTCTTAACTGGTGTATTCTTCTCCCTGTCTGAGTCTCTGCTGGCCTTTATTCACAACTCTTAATTAGGCATTGCACAAAACTCTATCTCTGCCTCCATTATTCTCTTGGAAGTTTACATGTTTTTATCTGTCACAACACCCAAGCAAGAAACGTTAGAGTTGTATCTTGGAATAACTCTTTTCTATATTGTAAGTCACCAAGTCTTTTGAGTCTGTCTTATTTTACTTAGCATCATGCTCTGACATCCATCCAATTTGGTGCATATATCAGAGGTTAGTTTCTTTCTGAGGCGTAGTCTATTGTTTAGATGTACCACAGTTTCAATCCGTTCCCATCAGTTTTGATATTTAACTGTTTACAGCTTTTGGTGATTGTGACTAAAGCTACCAAAACATTTGTATATATGTGTTGTATGGGCATGTGTCTTAAATTTCTCTTGGGTAAAAATCTAGAAGTGGTATCACTGAATTGTATGATAATTCCATAAGAAACAAACTGCAAACTCTTTCCCCAAGTTTTTGGATCATTTTATATCCTCACCAGCATTTGGAATTGTTAGACCCCCTCTTTTTTTTTTTTTTAATCTGAGCCATTCTAATAGATGCATAGTAGACAAATGCCAATTTTAAGACATAAATAAATGTCTTTTAAAATCATCTATTCACAAAATTAGCCAGGTGTGGTGTTGTACACCTGTGGTCCCAGCTACTCGGAAGGCTGAGGCATATGGAAGTCGAGACTGCAGTGAGCTGTGATCATGCCACTGCATCCTAGCCTGGGCAACAGAGTCAGACTTCAACTCGAAAAAAAAAAATTGTTTATCTACATAATTGTCAGTGAGACCAAAAAATACCAATAGGTTGTTCAGTTTTTTTGAAACAAGACAATGGGTCCTTGCCACTAGGATTTGAAGGCTTCTGTGAACCCTTTAGGGCTAAGAGAGTCTAGAATAAATATGTGCAAGGTATAAATGTCCCCAGCAAGACTGATGCTTAAGTAGAAATGTTAAATATAATATGAAGCAGAAATCTGAAAGTATAATGCTTCTCAGAGGCTATTCAGCCCTCTTTCAGCTTCATCATCTTCCCTTGATACTTTGTCTAGCCCATTGACAAATGTTTTAGTATGCACTTCGTTTTTTAATCATTTTTACTGCTTATTTGTTTACAAAAGCTATCTATAGAGTATAATAGTAAAGAAATTAACCTAGTTTGTGTTCCTTGCTTTGTCATACTTCGTATGCTGACATGGCAAGAATGAAGTTCCTAAAATATCTTCTTACCAACCTTCTGCTCAGATTGTATTTTTTCCTTTCAGATTTTCATCCGCAGATTTCTACCAAATACATTCTTTTCCTGGGAAGATCATATTCTAACAAGTCAACAATAGTTTATTTTCTTTGAGTAGAAATGGGTCTTTCACTCTTACACCTGAGCTTCTCTGAGGAACAATTCAAATGACCAGGATTAAGGGTGGAGTTTGTGACCACAGAGCTTAATCTTACCCCTATATAAACTACCTATGGCAAAAGAGTTAAGCCAATAAACTTGGTTAGCTTTTGTTTTCTAAGAGGATGAGCTGAGTGTCCCAGATGCTGTTATTATCATGCCCATTATCTGTTATAATCCCTTGCCTTCGTGTCTGTATAACCATTCCCTAAATTACATATAATAGTTCTTATCCATTTTCAATTGAATCCACAGATTATCTCGTTAAACTCATACTTCATACATAGTAAATGCCACCCAAAGTCAACCCACAGAGAGGCATTTCCTGGACAGCAAGAAGATTTTGTGAAGTGTCATACCCCTTTCTTTGCTTCCTGTCAAGAACTGCTGTCTGCTCCACATGTCAGGGACTAGGGAAAAGGAGGACACAGTGGTGGAGATGCCCTTCAGGGAGTGGCTGATAATGCAGAGGATAGAGGGGCTCCCAGGGAATCCCAGTCTTAAGAATGGGATCATTAACCCATTGTCCTGCGTTCTCCCTTCCTGGTAGCTTCCTGTTACAAGACTCTCAGCTCGGTGAGCTAAGGTAGCAACTATGTATTCCTAATGCCTCCTTGTTTTCTTACTACCAGTGTACACTGCCACAGAAAGGCTTTGTAAGTGGTTAATTCACAACAGCCTGTTCAAGTTAATTCTATTAATATTCAACGTGGGGCACAGTCCTGAGCACCAGTGATAAAGCCATGAACAGAAAAAAGTGTCCCTGCCTTCATGGAACTTCTAATACCTGATGTAACAGTACTACATATTTGCAGCAATACTGTTTTCCTCTTTTTAAAAATTGCAAAAGACATTTTTATGCACTATTGGTACTGTGCCTACTCTCAAGTGACTTATAGTGCTGTTGGGGAGAAAAGACACACAGAGGAAACACTAGTAGAGTAAGCTGAGAGTGAAATTGCCTGACAGTGATAGCAGGAGATAGTGGGTGCAGAAGATGGCAAACAGAAGCAAATAGAACTGTATGCTAGAGTCATCAGGAAGAGATGTCACAAGATTTTGCTATCGTCCCTCTGCTTTTCCAAAACAGCAGCCAATAACCTTTTAAAATAAGTCCTAATACTTCTCTGCTTAAATCCTACAGTAGCCTTTCTTCTGACTCTTTGTAAAAATTGATGCTTATAATGGCCTATAAGGTCGCTACACAACCTGTACTCACTCTACCTCACCCCCACCTCTCTGCTCTCATCCTGTTACTGTCCTCTCTGTGATTCTGCAGCCAGATTGACCTCTTTACTATTCCTCAAAAGGCCTGGCATCTAGCTGCTTCAGGGCCTCCTTCCTAGAAGTCCCATCTTCCTACAGCGCTTTCAGATATCTGCTATGGCTCCTTCCTCATTACATAATAAAGTGATGCTTTCCCCCAAAACACTGTTTTGAATTGTACTCTCCCTCACCTCCCCTGGCACTCTCTAGTCCCCTTCACTGCTTTATTTTTGTCATTCTTTTACTATCTGACACATGAGGGGGGTCCCAAAACAACTCAAAATTATTTATTAAAAATTGTGTATTGTTTTTACATGTTTAAACTTACCCAGTCACCTTCAAAGTTTTCTCCATTTGACAAATTACTCTGTCAAGAACCGTTCTTGAGCTTGTCAATTTTGATGTCTTTTAGTGCTTCTCCTGTTTTTTGTTTCACCTCTTCCACATCAGCAAAACTTTCCCTCTGAGGACTTTTTTCATTACGGGAAACAAAAAAAAGTTGTTGGGGCAAGATTGGATGAATAGGGAAGGTAGGCCATGGGGGTCATGCTGGTTTGAGTCAAAATGCCAAACACTTGGCACAGTGTGGGCAGGTGTGCTCATAAATCACCCATCATGAAATGGCCAAATGTGTTGAAATAATCTACAAAAAAATAACAGAATTCACTGAGGCCAAATGCAGCCTCTCACAACAACACTAGCTGCTACACTGATGCCAATGGGTTCCTAGTGGGGGAAGCCTGTACTACAAGGGGCCTGCCCTCCAGAAAATAATTCCAGTTTTTTGGGGGGATCCCCCCTCGTGTTTACTTATTTGTTTATTGTCTATCTTCCCCAAGTAGAAGGTTAGTCTAGAAGGAAGGACAAAGAATTCTGTGTCTTTCTTCACTGCTGTATCCCTAGTGTCTAGAATAGGGCCTGGCATATATCGGGGACACCAAAAGTATTTTTTTGAATAAATTAATAGAGGAAAACAAAGTAAAGAAAAATGAGAATGGCATTCCAATCAAAGAAGACAGACTAAACAAAGGAATATAAGGAGAAATAGGAGTAAGTATATCTATATGGGAGGAGGTAGAAGAGGCTGATTTAACTATAACAGATAGATGGTTTCTCGTTTGAAGAGGGGTAAAGAAAAACTTAGGTGAATAACGTAGTACCCAAGACATAAGGCAAAGAAACCATAAGACAACCAGGGGAGTTTGGGTCTGATATCAGCTAATCCGTAAGTTATTGCAGATTTCTAAGAGTGATTTAACAAATGGTGTCTTAGGAACATCAGTAGACCATTGGTAAGGAGGGTAGATTGAAAGGGGGAGAGACTGGATGCAAGAGAAACTACTAGATTATTGTAATAATCTAAGCAAGGAGCTGAGGAAGAAGGTAGTGGTAAAGAGAGAGAATGATGCAGACAGGTCATGCCCGTGAGAAAACGTATCAGAAAAATCAAAGGACTCAGTAATTTTATTAAATGAAGGATAATGGAAGAATCAAGATAACTAATATTTCAAGACAGGAACTGGAGAGAATATTATAACAGGGAGCTATTGGACAATTCTAGGGTCTGCAAAGTATTTTTTGAATGGAGTAATAGTAATAGTAATCCATAGTATTAATAGTAATACTATTACTAAAGTAAAAGTGTCCCATGTCTCTTCAACTCATTATTACTCCCTAAGGAAATAATGCTGAAAATCTAATGTCTTTCATCACTGTCTTGTCATACTTGTGTTGACTAATGCTATATCCATTGAACATGGTTACCTAGTTTGGGGAACTGAAAATGAGAAATCACTGCTACATAGTTAATGCAGATTTGAAACTCTTTTTGTAGCATCAGATTGTTGATTATGGAATGCGATAAGGCACTTTTTATAAGTTCATTTAAAAATTATAGATGCTAAATGCTTTCCTAGTAATTTTATTAGTAATAGTGTATACTAATTTGAGAAGGAATTGCCTACTTGAACTTGAAATCTAATAAAGACCTAGAAATTTAAATGTTTTATGTAAGTATCGCCAGTAAAGCCTAAAATTTTTTTTGTACATATTTACTTTCTTTCCTTTATCTTTAGCCATAATTTTTACATTCTTCTTGTTTACCTTATTGTGATGTAAATAGTCACAAAATATTTCTCAATCTTCATATATTCAAATTATTTAAATTAACTTTTGATCTTCGTTTTGTATAGAGACAATACTTAGACTTCTACATACAACTTCAGGATACCCCTAAACAGAATAAAAGTATTGATTTCACTTTTTAAATCTTGTTTTATTTCAGATTTGGTGTGAAGAAGAAACCAATTTACATTAATGTCATAAGGGATCCTATTGAGAGACTAGTTTCTTACTATTACTTTCTGAGATTTGGAGATGACTATAGACCAGGGTTAAGGAGACGAAAACAAGGAGACAAAAAGGTGATATTCTAATTGTTTATGAAATGCAGTGAAAAATATACTTGTTACACTTTTTATTGATTATAAATGTATTACTTGCTTATTGTGGAGGTTTTGAAAAGAACCCATAGGTATAAAGAAACAAAAGGGGGACTACTTACACAGTTGATACCTTGTAATATACATGATTTTTTGTGGTTTTAGAAAATATTTTACTTCTGTTCCAGGGCTGAATATTTGTTTTATTTTTGTTCTGTTAACCAATTTCTGAGACTATTGTGAATATTCATTGACTTGTATTTTTGTATATTCTTAGTCTTGATTATGGCAGTTTATATTTGTGATCATCAGCTTAGGTACACTTTTGCTAAAGCAGCTGTTTTTCAGGCAGAGAGAATAATGACTTAACAAAGTTCTTATCAGGTTCAGATTTGGATTGTCTTCCATTTTATTTCACATTTTCTGTCTCTCTCTCTCTCTCTCTCTCTCTCTCTCTCTTTCTCTCTCTCTCTCTCTCCCTCTCCCTCTCTCTCTGTCACAGTCTTATCTTACTGCAGCCTTGAACTCCTGGGCTCACACATTCCTCCCACTTAAGCCTCCTGAGAAAGTGGGACTACAGTCACATGCCACATCACCTGGCTAATTATTATTTTTAAATTTTTTTGTAGAGACAGGACCTCACTGTATTGCCCAGGCTGGTCTCAAACTCCTGGCCTTAACTGATCCCTTTGCCTTGGACTCCCAAAACGCTGGGATTACAGGTGTGAGCCACCACTCAGCCACATTTCATTTTATTACTAGAGTTATTTTTCTAAGAATCTAAACTAATTTGTCACTTTTCTGAAGGTACCCCATTATATGGTAACTTCATTGTTCACAGATTATCCAAGACATTGAAGACACAGTTGGATATGACCCGAAACCTACCTCTCCTGCCTCTCCTGCCTAATTTTCCTCCAGGCACCCAGTGCTTCAGTCATGTGAAATGTCACCATCCTCCAAACCTACTATTTTGTACATTTGTTATTTTCTGTATTTAAAATGCCTTTCCTTTACTCTGGACAACTCTTTGTCCACCTTTAAGATCCAGCTTAAAAATTACCTCTTCCACAGTCTTTTCTGATACCTTCAGGCAGAGTTAGTAACCACCTTTTTAGGGCTCCCAGAGCACTTTATTCAAATCTTTATTTTTAAGCATTTATTTTAGGGTATTTGGACCATCTGTTTACACACTGACTTCTCCAAAATGTGGTACACTTCTTGAAGCATACATTTCATTCATCTTTGTTTCCCCAGTGTTTAACAAGGTGCCTAGCCCACCACGACATGCTTGAGAAGCAGCAGAACAGAAGATTAATCTGGTAAAGGTGGAGGTTATGCATAGAGGTTGGGCTAGTCTGGTACATTGAGGTCAGATTATGAAGCATTCCTAAAAGCTCAGGATATAGAGTTTTGTTTTATTTAAGTATTGGAAGCCGTTGAAGTTTTCTGAGCAGAGGATGTTAGAAGTAAGTACTTAGGGTAATCCAATAACTGTACAGAGCAGATTAGAAGGAAGAGGAAGAAGGAAGTCCAATGAGGAAGCTGTTGTAAGAATCAAGATATGAAATTGTGAGCTCCTGATGGACGTAAGGATTGAAAAAGAAAAGGTGGATTGGAAAGACATTACCTCCAAGATTTGAGCTAAGAAGAAGACAGAGTAAGAAATGTTCTGGGCCGGGCTCGGTGGCTCAGCCTGTAATCCCAGCACTTTGGGAGGCCGAGGTGAGTGGATTGCCTGAGCCTGCAGGTTCGAGACCCGCCTGGGCAACTTGTTGAGCCCTCATCTCTACAATAAATTTTTAAAAAATTAGCCGGGCATGGTAGCACATGCCTGTAGTTCCCACTACTTGGAAGGCTGAGGTGGAAGGATCGCCGGAGCTCAGCAGGTCGACGCTGGGGTGTCCGTGAGCATGCCACTGCACTCCAGCCTGGACGATGGAGTGAGACTCCAACTCAAAAAAAAGAAAAAAGAAGTGACCTGGCTGGGCACGGTGGCTCAAACCCTATAATCACAGCACTTTGGGAGGCTGAGGTGAGGGGATTGCTTGAGCCCACGGGTTCGAGAACAGCCTGGGCAACTTGACGAAACCTTGTCTCTACAATAAATAAAAAAATTAGCTGAGCATGGTAGTGTGTGCCTGTAGTTCCAGCTACTTGGAAGGCTAAGGCAGAAGGATCGCCTTAGACCAGCAGGTCGACGCTGGGGTGACTGTGAGCATGCCACTACACTCCAGCCTGGGCAATGGAGTGAGACTCCAACTCAAAAAAAAAAAAAAAAAAGAAAGAAATGTCCAAGAATCTTGAGTCTGAGTTACAAAGGGCAATATAATCCTATTGCCAGGAATATTGAGTATAACACTGGAAATTCAAATAAAAATATGCAGTAGGCATTTGGAGAGAGATGATAGATCTAGGGTAACAGACTTGGAAGTCTTTTGCCTAGAAATTATAAATTAAGCCAAATAAGTGGACTAAGGAAGGGAGTGGAAAAAAAGAAGACAGCTGAGATGAATTGCCATACTTGGTAGAAGGATCAAAATTTGCTTTCAAAGAAGGTGATGATAGTATATTCAAAAAGGTGCAGAGAACCAAGAAAAGAAGCCAAAAAGGGGAATGTTCAAAGAAATATAAAAGAATGTATTAATGGCATAGCGAACGAGAGATTTTTTTTCAGGAGAGAATGGGGCTGATGCTATGAACGTCAAGGAAAACAAGAACCAACAAAACATTGTATCTGACTATTAGGAAGGAAAGGGGAGGAGACAGACACAGACGTAAACACATCTCATTTATTGAATGCCTACTGGGAGCCAGTTATTATGGTAGATTCTTTTACATTTATGGTCTTATTTGTTCCTCAAGGTAAGATTATGTCCTCGTTTTTTAGATGAGGAAAGCAATAAAAAGCTTAAGTTTTCTGGGTTTGGATTCAAGCCCAAATCATGTATCTTCACTATATTGTGGAGAAGATCATCTATAAAAGAAATGCGCAAATAAATTATGTGTTGCAATTGGCTGCTGCCTCTTGAGGATTGCCAGAATAATGAGAATCATTCTACTGCAGCTCCACCCACAGCCAAGTCTAAGGATTTTTAGCCCTATTCTTGTAGAGTTTTGGTTGAAAGGGCCCTCTGAGTATATCAGATTAGAAAAGTATGGCCTGGAGCTCTTAAAGACTTAAAATAGAGTCGGCTGGGCATGGTGGCTCAAGTCTGTAATTCCAGCACTTTGGGGAGGCCCAGGTGAGAGGATTGCTTGAGCCCATGGGTTCGAGAACAGCCTGAGCAACTTGGCGAGGCCTCACCTCTACAATAAATAAAAAAACTAGCCATGTGTGGTAGTGCACATCTGTAGTTCTGGCTTCTTGGAAGACTGACGTGAAAAGACCGCCTGAGCCCAGCTGGTCGACGCTGGGGTGGCCGTGAGCATGCCACTGTACTCCAGCCTGGGCGACGGAGTGAGACTCCAACTCAAAAAATAAACTAAAATAGGGTCAAACCTGGTTCTAGAAACTTGGGAACCCTGACTCAGACAAGCATTCTCTGCTCTTTCAAACTTCCTCTTTGAAGAAATAACAGGTGGTATTTGTAGATGTGTCACTGCAACAACCACACCTCCCAAGTTTGTTCCCTGGTATCTCTATGTTACATCGCCTCAAATAATCTCCACTTGTAAGAAAATGTAAATATACAAATTCAGCATAAACAACTACTTGTTCTTAAGGACAATTACTCTCTGGGGGGATTCCCATTCACTTAGTAAAAGAATTCTTATAATGTGGGGCTCGGTGGCTCAGCCTGTAATCGCGCGCCTTAGGGAGGCTGAGGTGAGTGGATTGTCTGAGCCCGCGGGTTTGAGACCTGCCTGGGCAGGTGAGACCTCATCTCTACAATAAAATCAAAAAATCAGCTGGGCGTGGTAGCACGCACCTGTAATTCTGGCTACTCGGAAGGCTGAGGCGGAAGGATCGCCGGAGCCCAGCAGGTCGAGGCTGCGGTGGCCGGGAGTGGCCACTGCACTCCAGTCTGGACAACAAAGTGAGACTCAAAAAAAAAAAAAAATTCTTATAAACATTAGCATAAAACAAAGTTGTGAGTAAAATTAATGTTTAACTTTTCTCAGTATCTCAAGTATGCTTTTGTAGCCTGTCTGTCCCTTTCACCTGACTATCTTGTCTCACTGACTCTCACCCACTTAAGTAATAACTTACCACATTAAGCTGTTTGATAGGTGAGACTTGGGTTTATGCTCACCTGTACTGCTTTGTCTTTGTTCCAGACCTTTGATGAATGTGTAGCTGAGGGTGGCTCAGACTGTGCTCCGGAGAAGCTCTGGCTCCAAATCCCATTCTTCTGTGGCCACAGCTCGGAATGCTGGTAGGGAGATACAGCTGGCTGAAGTTAATGATCTTTCTTTGAGCACTCTGATCTGTGCTTCACAAGGACTGGCTATAGGGAAATCAGTGGAAGACCAGACCCAGAATAATTAAGTAATATCTAGTTTTGTGGTTACCTTGAAATGCATTTAAAAGATTTCTTATACATAATATTTGCCATATCCTTGTATTGTTTTCTCAGATGCTAATTTTAAATTTTTTGTTTGTTTTTGGTGTTTTGCTGTATTCTGGCAGAGCTCTTAATTAAGGAGCAGGGGTCATAACTTTATTTTGTCCTAAGCTTACTGTTTTAGCCATTCATGTTAAATCAAAAAAGTTTTGGTGGGTAAATTATTCACCTGGTTTTACTATTAAACTGATTTTGACTTTAAGATAAGGCAAGATTATGGTTGTGGTTTAGTCTGTTAATAAATGTGAGGTGAAAATTAAAGATATTTGATCTTTGATAAATAATTTCCTCAGAATGTGCTGAACTTTTATTTTCTAAAAAATAATTGTACATGTTTATTTGTTCTGTTCAATCATTTTAATAGAAAAAGTAGAAAATAAAGGAACACATTCAAAGTTAGTTTCTTAAGCCATAATGAGAAATGCAAGGAATTTCTTCGTTATTTAAGATATATTATTACATTACTGTGAAGCTTAAGGACGTACTCAATAGATTATGTCAAAACCTCACAATAGCATAAGAAGAATTGGAATCCTAGGAAGAATGCATTCTCAGTTTTTAATCATTTCCTTAGAATGGACTGGCAAACTATAGTCTGCAGACTAAATTTTTCTCATCATCTGCTTTTGTAAATAAAGTTTTATTAGAACATAGCCTGTATATTTTTTATTTATTGCTTATGGCTGTTTTCATGCTACAACAGCAAAGTTGAGTAATTGTGTCCTAAACCATATGGTCTGCAAAGCCTAAATGGCCCTTTATAAAAAAGTTTTGCTAACCCCTGCCTTAGAACATGAAAACATATTACTCTACTGTGCATTTTAAAGGAGATTTCAATTGAACTTCTTTAGTATGTTTCGTAGATTCACAAAACTGGGGGGGGATCTTAGAATCAGCTAGTCACTGCTTCTTCCCCACATTCCCCTTTAGTAGCTGAGAGTACTGACTTTAGAAAAGTGAAGCCACCCACTCAAGATCACGTTGCTACTTAAAGACAGAGCTAGAATTAGGATTAAGGAAAGCTTACCGCTAAAAGGAACCTAAAAGTATAGTTTTTAGGGACCATCCCTGTTAACAACATTAGCTGACAATGTAAATAAAAATAAAAGATTCTTAGCAGAACCAATTTTTATCTATTTTCTGTTCCTCCGAAATTTCAGGAACACTAAGCTCACACAAAAAAGCCCTAAACTCAAAAATTAAGGTAAGCACTGAACAGAAGTTGTTGACACCTTACTAGAGAGTTCTTAAAATGAATAAAGTTTAGGGTAGTTTAAAAAAATTAAACACACACTAAATCATATGGCAGGAATGTGCTGTATGTGTAACATAAATAAATATGCATATATGTGTGTGTATACAAACACGTATTAAACACACATATTTTTAAGTGCCCTCAAACCAAACTTTGCTCATATCAGAGTCCTCTAGTAAACTCTGAATTAGCACTGCTAGTTGAGCAGAAACAGGGTAGAAACAAAGGAAATTTAGAACAGCTGTGTCCCAGAAGATGTTAATCACAGGGCATTGAGGCTTTGAATGTATGTGTGTTTATCTATTTCATAATATACAGTGTCAGAGGTATCAGAAATGTCAGAGGTATCAGAAATAGCAGATTTCAGAGCCATGTTTTGAATTCTTTTTCTTTGGTTTCAGGAATGTGGGAAGCAGGTGGGCTATGGATCAAGCCAAGTATAACCTAATCAATGAATATTTTCTGGTGGGAGTTACTGAAGAGCTTGAAGATTTTATCATGTTATTGGAGGCAGCTTTGCCCCGCTTTTTCAGGGGAGCTACAGAACTCTATCGTACAGGTATATAAATGAAGGGTTTACTTTTATGTTTATTTATTTGTTTATTTATTTAGTTAGTTTTTGAGCCAGAGTCTCACTCTGTCACCCATCCTGGAGTCCAGTGGCACGGTCGCAGCTCAGGGCAGCCTTGAACTACTGGGCTGAATGGATCTACCCTCCTCAGCTTCCTGAGTAGCTGGGGCTATAGGTGTGTGCCGCCATGCCCAGCTCATGTTTTGATTTTGTGTAGAAATGAGGTCTCAATGCTGCCTTAGGCTGATCTTGAATTCCTGGACTCAAGCATTCCTCCCACCTCAGCCACCCAAAGTGCTGAGATGACAGACATGAGCCACTGTACCCGGCCAAGGGTTTCCTTTTAAAGCTATCATTAACTTTTTTTGTTTACCATTTGTAAAATAAATGTGACTTGAAGTTTCTTCAGTAAAATACAACAAATAGCTCCAGAAGGACAGGTACATTGTATGTTTCTGCTCACCGTTTTCAACACAAAATAGTGCCTGGCACGGATACAATGTTCATTAAATCATTTTTTAGTGAGTAAGTGTGCATTAGGTGAGAATTAGAAGGCACTGTAGGAATAGTGTAGCAATACAAACTACAGAACTGGCCTTAGGAAACTATGGGGGTGAGGGAGATGGGATCAACGGTAGCAAATATCTGTCTGGGGATGGGAAAACACCTCTTATCAATAGGGTGCCTGAATGAAACGTATTTGTATACCAAACCCTTAACTGTACCCCACAACATCATAATAAAAAATATTGATTAAAAAATTAAATAAATAAATGGCTGATTTAAAAAAAAAATGTATAATGTATCAGTACTATATCAGTAATGCCAGATAGCAAACGCTAGGCTGATGTCTTTGTTCTGCCTGCTGCCATTTTAAAGCAGAAGTGGGATAGTGGGCCCAAATCGCACTAATACAGTCATCACGTGCTGTGCTTGTCAGAGTGCCTAAATGGGTGCTTCAGTGGCCCGGCCGTGTTATATATCAAAAAGTGACCATGCTGGTCCAATCTAATTATGACTTTTTTTTCTGTTGTTTGATTAGCCTGTAATCCCAGCACTTTGGGAGGCTGAGGCGAGTGGATTGCCTGAGCCCGTGGGTTCAAGACCCACCCCAGCAACTTGGCGAGACCTCATCTCTACAATAAATAAAAAAAAAATTAGCTGGGCGTGGTAGCACGCACCTGTAGTTTCGGCTACTTGGAAGGCTGAGGCAGAAGGCTCGCCGGAGTCCAGCAGGTCGACACTGGGGTGGCTGTAAGTGTGCTACTGCACTCCAGCCTGGGTGACGAAGTGAGACTCCAACTCAAAAAAAAAAAAAAGAAAAAAGAAAAAAAATAATAAGATGCAGTCATAGGAATTCTTTTCCTAGAGTCTAGCATATGCCCTAACTTCTAACACAATCTAACACAAAATCATAGAGAATATAGGTTATCAGAATATAGAAAGAAGTTTGGCAATAGATATCTATCAATGTTTAAACCAGTCCCAGTGCATCAAGCACTTGAAAATATAGCATGTGAGGTGACAGTCTACACTTGACTGAGTGGCAGTTCTCATATTTACTATTTGACATTTATTAAGTTTTTAACAGGTTAAAGATTTATATGCTAAAGGAATAAATCACAGGTGTAGTATGATTAGGGCTCCATTTTTTTCCTGAATTATATTAATACAAGACAGTTATGCTACTTGTTCTTCAGTGTGTCATATTAAATGAAACCATCTCTTCAAATAAAGATGTATTGATCTTTTGTGTGTTCTCCAAGAATTATTTACCTTCTTTTTTTTCCTTTGTAAGTAGGAAAGAAATCTCATCTTAGAAAAACCACAGAGAAGAAACTCCCCACTAAACAAACCATTGCTAAACTGCAGCAGTCTGACATCTGGAAGATGGAAAATGAGTTCTATGACTTTGCACTCGAGCAGTTCCAGTTCATCAGAGCCCATGCAGTTCGAGAAAAGGACGGAGACCTCTACATCCTTGCACAAAACTTTTTTTATGAAAAGATTTACCCTAAATCAAACTGAGTATAAGATGTGACTGTTATATTCTTGAACTAAAACTGACCCTTTCTTCACCTTCGTTTTCAGCTCCACAACCTGGATTGCTGATAGAGGTACATGACAATTTCTATCGAGCCAAATTGGAACAGAGACAATAATGTCAAGGAAGTAGATACTGGCTGGTATGTCAGCGTTTTAAGAAATTTAAGTTTCAGGCATTTTCTGTAAATTTTGGTGAGAGTTATAACCTCCCGCCTGGGGAAAAAACCTGTACATCACCTAAAATAAGCACATGGCAGGTATAATTAAAAGGCTAAATACAATTTTACAAAGGGTTCTGAAACCCTTGTTTTTGATAAAGCGTTTTTCAACTAAACATGAATGAAGATGAATCCATTTGCCACTTCCGCCCTCGCTGAAGGTTTGGGTTATACACCTCTACTGAATAGTGTTAATAACTGTTTGGCAGCGTGTGCTTTGTTTTGTGAATCATGTCTCATGAAATGTATTGGAATGTTTAATTATGTTTGCTAAGAAATGTTTCTGCTGTAGTTGGATTTGCCCATATTTATGTAGGTGGTTTTATTTTTTTAAAGCAATCGTTAGTGTTAAAAATCAATTTAAACCATGACTAATACTTTAAAAAGATAAAGCGTCAAAGCAGTATTTCTCATTCCCGTCTCCCTCGTATCTAATATTGGGAAGATACTTCAAAGAATGTTGAGATTGTCTAAAGTTTTAGTTAAGACTTTCACACGTTAATATCAGAAAAGAAAGGTAGTATTTGTTTCTCCATGGGTTATTCATAAAGCTGTAAACTTGAGATTTCAGTGACTCCGTATTATGATTCCATCAGTGAGCTGCGGTATGGGCAGGATTTCCGTACTTCTTCTGTGCTTTTACCTGTAGACTATTTTTACTAAGGTGCTTTATAATGTGTTTTAAAGCATTGCATTTACAAACAAAGGAAAATGCTGCAAGTATTGCATATTTTATGTATCTGGACCAAAAGGTTACAAGTAATTAGGCAAAAGTGGTTTTGCACCAATTTTACTATGTCGGGTAAAACCATCAGATCTACTGTTCTTGTATTTCTCATTTAACTTTACTGTTATGACATCACTGAAATGAACTTCGGCTTTCGATTTTGATACACACAGTTCATTCTTCATAACTGGAGGCAGAAGGTACAGTGGAAAGGGCATTGGACAAGGAGTCAAAACTCTTGATTCCAGATCCTAGCTCTGCCACTTAACAGCTGTGTGATCTTGGGCAAGTCACTTAGCCTCCCTTTGCCTCAATTTCCTCATCTTGAAATGAGGTTAGTAATACCTGCTCTACCTACCTCACAGGGCTGTTGTGAGGATTAAATGAGATGGCATGTGAAAGCACTTTGAAAATTGTAAAGCGCTATATAAACGCGAGGTATTATTATAGAAACATCTTTAACATGTGGTTTCATACCATTCATTTTTTTAAAAAGAAAGGGAGAAGTCTGCTTGCCAGCTGGTTGAAAAAGTTAATCTTGATATAAATTTGTGTTGATAAATATCTTCTCAGTGTCTTATCTTCCATGTTTCAACAACTCTTGAAATGTGAAACACCTGTGAATTCTTAAAGATTCATGAGCAGCTGCTTGAGTCCAGGGGTTCCCTGTTGGAAATAGACTTTGTTAGCTGACTAGGGTCGGGGAAACTTGCCTCTTCAAATTCGAAAGAGTTTCCTGTTTGTTTGTTTGGTTGTTTGTTTGTTTTGAGTTGGAGTCTCACTCTGTTACCCAGACTGGAGTGCAGTGGCCGCTCCCGGCCACCGCAGCCTCGACCTGCTGGGCTCCGGCAGTCCTTCCGCCTCAGCCTTCTGAGTAGCAGGAATTACAGGCACGCGCTACCACACCTGGCTAATTTTTTGATTTATTGTGGAGATGAGGTCTCGCCTGCCCAGGCGGGTCTTGAACTCGCGGGCTCAGGCAAGCCACTCACCTCAGCCTCCCAAAGGCGTGGGATGACAGGCTGAGCCACCGAGCCCGGCTTGAGTTTCCTGTTTTTATTTTACATTACTGTTCAGAAATAGTAGCTACTTTATACCTATGGCTTTTGAGTTTAATTTCCCTGTGCATTCCTGACCTCCTTCCCCTTCTTGGAGTAACAGAGATAAATGATTTTAGAAATATTTTCTAAAAGAATAATTGTTAATATGTTTAGTTTAAGTAAATATTTCTGAACAAGGCTTCACCAAACTGTAAGCATTTTAGGCAGATGGCCTTAAAGATTATTAATTGTGTGGGAGGGGAAGAGAGCACTATTTATTAGAAAATATTTATAAACAAACTAAAGAAAAACAAAAGGAATGACAGAATCATCTTAGCACCCTTTCCCTCCAATAACATAAAAGTACTAAGAGAACATGCCTGGGCATATTTTTCTTATTTGACTTTTTCCTTTATTTTTTTCCAAATTAACTTTTTTTAGATAGCTCCTGAAAATAGATACAAATTATTTCTCGCCCAAAAGTAAAGCACCACTTCAAGGTGGAAGTTGATATTTACCTGCTAACGAATGTGAGTCCCAGTATGCAGATTATTCTTAGAGCACATGCTGATATCTTCTTGAGGTGCATTAACTCTTTTAAGTAACTAGAGCAGCACTTAGTACACTAGATCATGGGGTCAGTAAACTTTTTCTGTAAAGGGCCAGAGAATAAATATTTTAGGCTTTTGCAGGTCACATGATTTCTGTCACAGCTACTCAACTCTGCCATTTAGCACAAAAGCAGCCCTTGACAATATGTAAACAAATACACATCATCATGTTCCAATAAATCTTTATTTACACCAACAGATGACAATGGCAGATATGGACCATGGATTACCAACCATTGCACTAGATGAATCATTACTTATGGAGAAATCATTTGTGTATCTGTACTCTAGTGTCCTAAAAGAGTTTATATACTTCTAAAAGCTCCTAACTTATATCCAAAGAATTGCTTTCCGATTCATGCTGTCTCTTCCACAGATTCAAAAACTTTTATGACTTCTATTGCTTCCAGGTGGACATGTTTTATTTCCTAGTTTAGCAGTTAAGAATAGGGGATTTTGTTTTATCTTTTAGGGTGGGTTAGGGGTGTCCTTTCTGGAGACTAAGAAAGGAATGGATTTAATTCCATCTGGTCCAGTAGTCCTAGGAGTCTGAGTCCTAATACCTAACTTTATAATCAACTAAATAGAACCACTGAGACGATAATGTATTTTTTTAAAGTGGCAAATGTTTTCTTTTTTCAGCCTTTGTGCTTTTTCAGTATTTTGACCATAGGGAGATAATTTTTTTTATAATACAAACATAAATTAACCACTTCAAATTTTAAAGATAATGTTATATGTGTATGTGAATATATATGTTTATTTCCTAAAAGAGGAAACGATGCCTTTTTGTTCAACTTGTATCAACTCCTGTTTTCTAATTGCTGTGAAAAGGCAACTGTTGATAAATTATTGTGACTGTTTTAAAATGTAATGGGGAGGATATATTTTGATTTTACCCAGCTTTAATCTGTAAAGTATCACTTAAATATATCTGATAGCGACACCTAAAATATTGCATGGAGATTACTTTTCTATCATCCATATACATTTGTGCAACTTTGAACATATTGGGTACTTCTGAATTCCTGATGATTGAATTCAAACTGTTGAAAATCAGAGATCTTAAACTTACTGATTTTTATAATTTTATTTTCCATTCTTAAAATTCAGTGAATGTCTATAATTTTAAATCTACTGTTGCTTTTTTTCAATATGTGTCCTATTGGGAATTCCTAAATCTGTTGGTGCCATCGGTGATTTACAAACAGTATTTTGATATTGCAGATGATTTGCTCATTGTATTTGCATAGTTTGAAAGAAAATAGATTGTAGACAATGATTCTCTCTTTTTTAATAAATTGAAATAATTCTAAAAGCACTAGAGAATTTAACTGAAGGCTGGTTCCCACATGCATAGCTGGCATTTTAATTTATGTTCAAATTCTACATAGAGAACATCTGTGTAAATCATCTGACTGGCTTTTCCCATCGGTCATTCTAAAACACACCTATGGTCCTAGAATCCTTTCTTATGAGAATCACTCAGTACTGTACCCTTTTATGAAGTTTGCCTTTAAGAAGCCCAGGTGCTGCTTGTGTATGATTTCAAGTTTGCCTCTTCATAAATTAGTGCTATTTACTTTGAGAGGAAGTGGTGCAGTTGCAGTTAGTTCCTGCATCCATTTACCCTTTGCAGAGTTGTCGTATGATGCCAACTACTCTTCAGGCAGCTTTAGTTGGAAAGTGCCCCCCTTCCAAACCCACTGCCAATTTAGCTCCTCTGGGATGGAGCTTACTTTCTGACTTGGAGCAGGAGTTTCAGAGATTGAAGTGAGCGATCATTTAACTAGAGTCATCCTATCACTTAATTTCATGCAGTTTTCTGGCCTTTGCAGTACTGTTTATAAAATGGACCCTGATGGTGATGATCTCTTTAAAATACATCCTGGTAAGCCTGTGAGTGAGACACATGGATGCTGTCTGATTTTTTTTTAGACAGCTTTTGTAGCTTTCTATTGAGAGTCAGTTATGTGAGCATCTCTGAAGCAGCATTGAATGTAATTTTGAAACATATAGATTGTGTATTTTGACTTTTATTAATAAATAGACAGCAAAACAGTGCCTTTTTTCCTTCACTCTCCTATTAGAAGATGCTCACCACTTATCTCTCTTCTCTTTCCCTGCCCTCCCCCACCTCACTCTGTTGATTCATTTATGCAATACTGTTTCCAACTTGAAACCATTTTGTCACATCTGTTGGAGAGATAATCACTCCTCTTCCTAAACATCCTGCCAGCTTTCTGTTGCTGAAGTGTTTCAGTTGACTACCTGATGCAAAAGCTATAAAATAAATACTCAGTGGGAAGGGGAAAAATGATTTGGTGTCCTGTTTTAATATTTTCTTCTATAACCTTGACACTAGTGGGGATTTTCCAAGCTGACTCAGTTTGGCACCATTACCTTGATCTCAGGTATTGTTGCCATCAGAAGGACATGCATCATCATTGGTTTGCAGTGATTTGATGGCTAATTTGTGACTATTTCATTGGGACTGACATGACTCTGCTACTTTTGCTTTGTATTTAATTAAAATTCCAGATAGAAAATATACACGGTATACTTAGGATGTACACTTAATTAGAAGAGAAAATAAAAATAGAGAAAGGGCTATTAGAATATAAAGGAAATTTGCAAGGAAGAAAAGCTATTCTGATTAACATTTATGGCACAGTTTGGGCATCGGGTCCATAATGATTCTTAGAATTCTTTGAGAAAACACTTTTTTATTTTTTATTTTTTTAAGTCAGAGTCTTACCCTGTCACCCAGGCTGGAGTGCAGTAGCACTATCACAACTTGACTGCATGGGCTCAGGCAATTCTGCCACCTCGTCCTCTCGAGAAGCTGGGACAACAGGCACACACTATTATACCCCGCTATTTTTTTTCTTTTTTGGAGAGTTGAGATTTCTGTATGTTGCCCAGGCTGGTCTGTAACTCCTGGGCTCTGGCACTCCTACCTCAGCCTCCCAAAGTGCTAAGATTATAGGCATGAGCCACCACTCCTGGCCCAAGAAAACATGTTCCTAATTATTGTTCTCTTCACCCTTAAAGGAGAAAATTTCAATTACGTAGATTTCCAGTTCCCAGCCACTTGCTCATTGTTTTGAGCAATGCTTGATTGATTCTATTTGTGGTATGTGACATTAGTAAAATACCAGTTCGGTGATGAATTAACAGAATTTGGTTTGTATCCCCACAGGAGCAGAACAGGAAGCATGGAGAGTCAAATGGACCTGCACTTAGTAGTGTAACTTTAGTAAATGGAGATAACAGGACTGTTGTAAAGATTGGGCATCACAAATGCAATTGCTAGTCCAAGGTAGACTTAGAACCCCGTGGCTTTTCTATGCCATGCAGGAATATTGCCAGGAAACTGACCTGCCTTCTCACCCTGCAGAGTTGTGTCTCTTCATAAACAGTATCTTTATATTTTTGAATGACTGGATTCCTTTTACTGGTTTTCTTAATATGTCCTCACTTAGGTACTTTGTACCATGGATAATCTGGTTCTGATTCCTGCTGTTCTTTCCATGTACAAGTCACCGGTGAGTAAAGGGGGGAAACGCCAGTTGTTCTAAAGGAGACAGAATTTAGTCCAGAAATGACTGAGTCCATATTTTATTATATTTGGACTGCCAAATAGCACACATATAAAGCCCAGGATAACAGCATTAAAATGATTTACATTATTTCAGCAGAAAGGAAATTACCCTATTCTGTAAGCACACCTGCCTTATTGTTATAAATTAGTTGATCATGTTAGAATTTAAGGTGTTTAGGGTATCTGAATGCAATGATGATTGTCTAAACCTGCATAGTTTCATAGTACTCTTACAATCGATTACCAGCTGTTTTCTGCAGGAGGAGTTGAACTTTCTGAACTTTCTTTCTATAGTAACAGTACAGAAATGT